TTTTTAAAAAAAATAATAATATTAATACTAATAATAATATTAATACTAATAATAATAATAATAATAATAATAATAATAATAATAATGATTTTGTTTTGTAGGTTTGTTTCTTTGAAAATTGACGTCGTTGATTTATTATTATTATTATCAATATCATTATCATTATTATTATTTTCTCTTTCCCGCTCCCGTTCCAGGTCGACCCGAATTCATTCCCGTATACTGATACTTGGCTTTCTTTTCAGACGGTTTCAATATCTGAAATTACAAATATACAGACAAAAATTAAATAATGATGATAATAATAATAATAATAATAATAACACAGAGGTTTTTTCGTGATAAATAAATTATTATTATTATTATTATTATTATAAATACCTGAAAGGAACACATGAGCGTTTCATCGACCGACATCATACCTCCGGCGTTATCAAATTCTCCGCAATAATTTGGCGCCGAAAATAACGTAACCAATTGTCTTTTAGCAAAAAATTCATAACCGTCTTCCACGACCTTTTGAAAACGAAACAAACAAATTAACAAACAAACAAACAAACAAATTAAATTAGTTTAATTTTTTTTTTTTTTTAAATCAACCTGGTGAGCTCTGCATATCAAATCCAAATCGTGTTTATTTAAAAATTTTGCTACGACATCAGCTCCGAACGTGAATGAAACTCCGCGATCATTTTCTCCCCAACCTTGTACATCTTTTTCCGGGTCAGACCATAGTAAATCACAAAGTAAACCTTAAACAAACAAACAAACAAAATCATTTTCATCTCCCCCCTCTCTCTCTCGCTGGTTATCATCATCATTAACGAACCAGTATCGGGTACGTCAGTGGGTCTCATTATTCTTCTGATTTGTTCCATTCCTTGTAAATCGGGTGATAAACCGCCATGACAACAAAATATTTTCTCATCAATAATGGCTGCTATTGGTAAACAATTAAAACAATCAGTAAATATCTTCCATAATTTAATATTATATCGGCGTTTACCTTGAATAAAAATAAAAATAAATAAATAAATAAATAAAAAACATGAAAGAATCGATGGGAGACATTTTCTTTTTACATTCATCGTAAAATCCATATATTCTATTAATACTGGCGCACTCGTGATTTCCTCTTAGTAAAAAGAAATTTTCTGGATATTTTATTTTATATGCCAAAAGTAAACAAATTGTTTCTAAACTTTGTTTGCCACGATCAACATAATCTCCGAGAAATAAATAATTTGCATCGGGAGGAAAACCGCCATATTCGAATAATCTGAGGAGATCCGTATATTGTCCATGAATGTCACCTTAAATGGAAAAAAAAAAATTTCCAAAGATAATTACTACATAAGGTAAATGTAATTGATTCAAATGTGTAAAAAATATGGAAAAAATGAAACAAACCACATATTTTTAATGGAGCTTCAAGTTCTAATAATATCGGTTGTTGTAAAAATATTTCTCTAGATTTTAAACAAAGGCTTCGAACTTCCGACTCCGACATCTGTACAATTTTTCCAGGGCGGCATCCTCTTACTGTAATAAAATAAAATTTAAATTTTTATAAAAAAAAAAAAACAAACCAAACATGGCAATTATTAGGAAGGAATAATGTAAAAGTTTTGTACAGAAGTTACTTTTTTTATATAATATAAATCACACACAGGTTATAGAATGAAATTGAATCTTGATATGGAGTTTCTCGATTTATTTTTTTTTGTACTCTAATTAACTTCTTTCATTAGAAATTCAGACCGTCACGCGGGGGAGGGGGGAGGATTATTTGACTTTTTTTTTTTTAATTAGATTTTTACCATTATTATTATTATTTTTCTTTTCCTAAAATATAAAGAAAATTTAGAAAAAAATTAAAATTTTCATTAAATTGGTATTGGTGAGTGCACAACAAAATTGATATTGACTTGTGATAATAATGAAAACAATGAAACAATTGATGTTTTTAAATGTTTAAAATAGGCGGAAAATTTTTTATGATAAACAAGGTTAAAAAAAAAAAAAAACAAATTTGTTTCGTAAATTAGAATTTTTTTTTTTCCACTAATGGGAAATTAATTAGCAAATGTCAAATTGTAAGTCAAATTTTTTTTTTTTTAACAAACACTCGATCCATTTGATTCACTTCAAGGTCAAGACTATTGATTCTTAATAAATGAAATTTAAAACGAAATAAATGCGCCCGGTTAAAAATAATAATGATTTCACGTAGAAAATTTAATTAATAAACGTCGGATTTAAATTAAATTAATGTATATATATATATATTAATAAAATTTCATACCTTCTAATAAACGAGCAATCAAATGATCTACATTTAGCTCTATTTCAGTCATTTTAACAACTGTGAGAAGTTAAATCAAACACGTTCACAAACGACTAAAAAAGGAAATGGAAAAAAAATTAGGTAAAAGGAAAAGGAAAAAAAATGAAAAGCACACACGGCCGACGCGGAATTTTATTTACTCTATGATTTTTTTTATTTCTCATGATTTCATTACGGGTAATTTTTACATTTATTTAAATTGTATGTCAAAATTATATATAGATAAAATTTTTTTTTTTTTTTTTTTTTTGATTAACAAAGAAAGTTTTGTATTGGTGTATTTTTAGAAAAATTATTTATATATTTGTACGTGGGCTAAGTTATATTTTAAACTGACTATTGACAAATATCACGTTATTTATTAATTATTTTATTTTATTTTTTTTCATATTAATGACATTTTTATTATTTTTTTTTTTATGATGAAAAATTTTAAATTTTGTAAATGAAATTATTAATTTTTGTAATTTTAAAATTAGTACTCGGATCTTTACTTGATTTGTTGCATAATTTATATTGTTTTTATAAATAATCCATCCAGTTTGTCCATGTGTAGTCCCAATAAACTGGATTGCTTCTTATATCTACCGGTTTGTTTCTCGGTGGTACCTGTTTCATATATGTTTATCTCTCATAAATCAACCATTTTGGATATTTGATGCCAAATAACCCTTTCACATGAATCTGTTTTCATATCGAATAAGTAAATTTCACTGAAGTTTTAACGATAATTAAAAAATTTATAAAGTGATTTTTTTTTCAAAATTGAAAATAGCAAAAGGTTTTTTTTTTTTTTTACTTTGGTCACTTTCATCTTCTTCTTCTTCCTCTTCTTTAACATTACATGTCACTTGAGTTGCATTTATTAATTCCATAACAAGTTTTTTATTTGGTAGGACTTTAATATGTTTTATCGCTTTCGCTGCATCGCTGTTGTACAATTCATTCCAGTCGTAATTCATATCTCTTCCTGATGGACCATACCATTTATTCCAGTTATTAGCATTTCCTATGAAAACAAATTCAAGTTTTATTATTTTTTTTTAGGTTAATCATTTCAAAATCATTAAATATTCTTTTTGTACCCTTTTTATATTTCCAATTTTTATATCTCAATGCTGCTATTTTTCTTTCTGTGTCTATATTTAATAAAATTTCTTTTCTAACTGATGGTAAACCTTTCGAAAGATTCGGCCAAACATTTATTCCATCGATATCAGATATCGAATCTGTTTAAAAATTTATTTATTTTTTTTTGTAAGTTTATGTAATTTTGTTTCTTTTTATGAAAAATTTTTCCCCCTTACTTGATGCATTTGTTAAAGACAATAATGTTGGTAACCAATCAGTTATGTGTATCATTGCATTTGATACTTTTGACGATGGTAAAAATGGACTCCATATAAAACCTACACCTCTCACTCCTCCTTCCCACAATGTATCTTTAACCTGTTTTAAATAAAATTTTTAAATTTGTTTGTTTTCTATTTCATCTGTTGATTTAAAACATACTCCTCTCAATGGCCAATTTGATGCTGCATTTAAATTAAAACCACCTGCTGGTCCACCATTATCGGTTGAAAATAAAATCACACAATTATTAATCATGTTTGAGTCTGCTAATGCTTCGACAACTTTACCAACAGATTCATCCAATTTCGACAGCATACCTATTATTATTATTATTTCATTATTTATGTAATTATTTCCTTGTGCCACTTCATGAATAAAAACAGAATGGATGAAAAAAAAGAAAATTGTAAACCTGCAAACAATCTTCTATTTTTATCTTTTATGTAATTAAATTTAGCAACAGTTTCTGCAGGTGCTTGTAATGGACTGTATTTATTTCCTGAATGAGTTGCCAAATGTGCCAAATATAAAAACAAAGGCTTATTCGAATCATGTCCTTTGATTACCTTATTAAAAATAAAAATAATAATAATGATTTTGTGAAAATATTTAAATCAAATTTAATTTATCCTAATATTTACTTTGACAGCTTCGTTTGTAAATAAATCCGTTGTGTAATACCCAAAATCAGATCTTGTTACATTCATACCTCGTCTCATATCGTAACCCCAAAATCCAGGCTGGAAAATTTAAAAAAAAAATGGCTTCACATCTTCGATAGTATTTGCAATTAAAAAATTTTTTTTTTTTGTCATACATTTTCAATTGCCGTGTGATCATAGTAATCTTGATGACCCGTCCAATAACCATAATGAGAATCAAAACTAATAAAAAAAAAAAAATTAAATTAATCCAATTAAAATTAATATATAATTCTTTAATCTCTCTTAATCTTCAGATTAAAATATGTTAGGATAATCCCTACCCTCTACTCTCCGGTAAATAATCTTTTTTAAAATGACCCAAATGCCATTTACCAATCATTTTAGTTACATATTCAGTTTTTATTATTTCAGGTAGAATAATATGTTGAAGACTTAAACCCCATGGTTCACCACCGTAGATAACTTTATGCTGCATACCTGTACGGGGAGGAAAACAAGAGAAAAACAATTCTCACCCTCTATATTCAGGAGTATAGTCTTTTTTAAAAGACCCGAGATGCCATTTTCCAACATGTCTTGTTACATAATTTAAACTCCTAAGGTATTCAGGTAATAATTTTTCATTTAAATTTAATCCGTATGGTGCTGAACCGTGTATTACACCGTGTTGCAATCCTAAAATATTACACCCCCCCCCGCGTCGTGAAAACCCGGGGAAAAATGAAGGAATCATATCGATTTCGTACCTGTATGTATGGGATATTTTCCAGTCAGTAGAGCGCTTCTCGATGGCGTGCAAACAGGTGCGACGTAATAATTGTTTAATATTATTCCAGTAAATGCTAATGCATCTATGTTAGGTGTCGGAATTTGATTGGAACCGTGAAAACCTACGTCGTTCCAGCCCTGGAGAAATTTTCTTTTTACAAAAAAAAAATTTTTTTAACCGAAGTGAAAAGTTATTATTATCTTACCAAATCGTCTGCTAAAATTATTATTATGTGTGGATTATTAACTAATTTTTCACAATTAATAATATCGATCCATGTACATAACGTTAAATAATAACCGATGATAATAATAATAATAGTGAACATTTTGAATGCGTTGAATGTGTTATGAGACTACTGATGATGATAATAATAACAAAATATTATCGTTTCATACAGGAAATCTAAACTAAAAGCACAATCGTCGTCGTCGTCGTTGTCGTTATGTTTTCAATGCCATGTTAATTATTATTATTATTTGTTTTTTTTTTTTTTTTTTTTTTTTTTCCCGGGGGATCCTGGAATTTCGTTGTGGTGGTGGTAAAAATATTACGTCACGAATTGGTCGTTGAGTTTTTAGTGCCAAAAAAAAAAAAAAAAATGGTACAAACGCAAACATTTAAATTTTGTTTTTTTTTAAAAATAAAATAATTCGGTTATACAGGTAATCGTGTGTGGGGACTTTTGCCAAAATGAATTTTATTATTATTATTATTATCATTATTATTATTATTATTTTTCGTTTGCCAGAAACAAAAATAAAAATTTAATTAATGGATTTAAATGTTAAAGATCAAATTATGTTCTGTTTGCTTGTTTGTTTGCTCGCTTGTTCGTTTTGTCAAATTTATTATTAATTTTTTTTTTTTTTTTTTTGGGGGGGGGAGAGGGGGAGTTTTGTTTATTTTCCAGAATGATTTTCTCACCGTGGATAATTTAAAAATTAAAAAAAATCTTAACGAAAATAAAATTTAAAAGCGGGAGAGAGAAAAAAAAACGAAAAAAAAAGATGAAAATTTTTTGTTTGTTTTTCGTTTTCCATTAAAGAAAATACGGGGGGGAAATATATTAAATAAATCAATTGGTTTGTTAAAACGATACCAGGTGGCAGTGTCGTAAAGTAAACATGACGTCATTTATTTTAACCGTTAAGTAAACAAATTCGTGCGTGCGTGGGTGCGAGTGAGAGAGAGAGAGAGCGGAAGCGGAAGGTAAGAGTGAGGGTTAAGGCAGAGTAAGGCGTTTTACAGCGTTGTTTTTTTTTTTTTTATAGCGAGATTTTAATTAAATAAACGGTGTTTATTTTCGACATTGTTTTTTCTCGCTGAAAAAGGGTTTTTTTTTTTTTAAATAATAACAAACAATTTTTGATTTTTTTTTTTTATCGTTTATTATTATTATTATAATTCTCGATAGAAAAAACATTATTATTATTATTATTATTTTTTTTTTTTTTTGAAACAGTACAATAAATAAATAAAATTGTGCGCGTGCTTATTAATTAATAATTGTGCTCGGGGCACAACGTGGTAATAATAATAATATGCACATAACGAATTTATAATGAATAAATAAATAAATAAATAATAATAATAATAATAATAATAATTTTATTAGTAGCAACAATAACGACCACTACTACTACTATTAAAATGTAGAAACAAAAAATTTTTATTTTTAAAAATATTTTCAAATACGCTACATAAACTATATATAAATAATAATAATAATAATGGTAATAAAAACGTTTATACAAATATAAAAAAATTTTTTTGTTTTATTAAGAATAATAATAATATTAGTAATTAAAAAAAGAATTTATGGTTGAGCAAAATTTAATTTTATTATTATTATTATTATTATTATTAATATTATTTACATTGACGTATTAGACCGGAAATAGAAAAAAAAGTTTGACGACGATGACGATGACGTAATACATAAATAATTATATATATATTTGCTCAATTTTTTTTAATTAATTGACTTATTGATTTTTATTTTATTTATTTATTTATTGATTATTGATTTGAGGTTATCGGAAAATATCAATCAATAATTTAATCGTGCCGTCGATATAAAATTGATCTGATATGCATTTAAAACGTTTTCATATTTCGAATGATGACGTTTTTCTCTCTCTCTCTCTCTCTCTCTCTCTCTCTCTCTTGATCCTCCAATGTAACAAAATACAAACAAAATGGCGAAGTCATTTCTGTAAAAATTTGATGTAGTAAATTTTCTGAAACTTTTTATTAAAAAGGAAAAAAAGGAAAAAAGGAAACAAAAGTGATGGCCGATTTCCCGCCAAAATTTTCTCGAAAAGAAAATTCGTTAAGATTTTTATTAGCGTTCGAAAACCGTTAAATAGCTTACTCTTTCTATAGACGTTCCACATTTTGAATAATAACAAAATTCAAATATGGCGACCAATATGGCGAACGCGAGTCCACCGATTAAAACGATGAAAATCCCGCCGATGTTGACGACGCCCAACGAATTGGCTTTCGTGTCTTTTTTCTTTTTTTTTTTTTCGCAAATGTTTTCTAATTTTTTCCACCATTTATCATATAATATTTGTATTTCACCTTTTTCTTGTAATTCCAATATGGCGAGCGATATTTTATCTCTCCATGGCGAACCTGAAAAAATAAACCCGTCTATCTTTTCCTTCTTTTTTTTTGGGGGAGGGAGGGGCGGGAAATTTTCATTTTGTCGATTCGTACCCATTGGCGTACCGATTCCGTAACCTTTGTTATCCAAAATCCCACCGATTTGTATGAGGCTGCAATCGCGTTGTAAAATATAATCCAACATGGTGGATTCCATGAGGAAAGCGTATTTACCATCCAAAACTCTTTGTATCCCCTCTTCGTACGTGGATACGAAAACGGATGGTTTTTTATTTTCCATAAATCTCCACATTTTTTGATAAGTTTCGATCATCGAATCCTTAAAATTTGTTTCTTTTGAGAAAACATACAAAATGGCGGGAAAATTTAAAAGGAAAATTAATTAAAACTCACGCGAAAGAAAGCCATGGTCGAACCGCTTTCCAATGTTCCATATTTGATGTCGGTTTGACTCGCTAAATCTTCGGCATTTTCGATGGGGGATATCATGCGTTCAACGGTTAAAAAAGCCGCCAAATTTGCCGTGTAAGAAGAGATTATGATGAGAGTGAAAAACCACCAAATGGCGCCGACTATCCTCGTCGAAGTGCTCTACAGAAAAAACAATAATAATAATAATAATAATTTTCTATTTCTTTCTAGAAGAAAAAAAATCGATTTAAACACAAGTGGTCGACTTAACCATAAAAGTTTACTTTGTAATTCTGATATTTCAAACCCCCCCCTCCCCCTTTTTTTTCCGTTTACTTTTCGTGAGAGGTTATAAACGTACGCGCACCCACACACCCACCCACGCTTTACAAATCATTATTGTTATTATTTATTTATTTATTTTTGTCTGCTGGAGAATCGTTTTTAATGTTTGTCGTTTAAGTTTTTTAATTTAGTAAAGAGATCATCGTTGATAAAGTAAAAAATAATCATCATTATTATTATCATTATTATTATTATTATTAATTCTGATAAGATATTCGGTCATAGAAATCTATTAAATATTTTTTTTTTTTTTTGTTCGGAAAAGTTTATTGGAACCTTGAAATCAATTTATTTATTTTTTTTATTTTTTATTTTTGCCAGCAGACGCATTTTCGGTTTCATTTTATTTTTTTTTTTTTTTAACATGGGAGGATGTGTGTGAGAGAGAGAGAGAGAGAGAGAATAAAGGGTGAAATGGAATGAGTGAAGATAACTTTTCTGGAAAAGTTCTTCTTTTGAAATTTGGTAAATTTCCAACGAAAAAAAAAAAAAAGTAATGGAAGAGTTATATATATACGCTCACGGTTTTTTTTTTTTAAAACATGTTTTTTTGTTGTTTGTACGTGTTTGTTTGTTTTTGTTTTCGTGAGTGTTGTTTGATTAAAACAATCGAAATTTAACAAATTAAAAAAAAAAAAAAAAAATTTTTTTTTGGTGTGTTTTTCCAGGCTTTTTCAAATTCAAACGATTCGAAAAAAAAATTTTTTTCTTTTCTCTTTTTCATAATTTTATTGTTTTCCCCTTTCCCCCGCCCCCTCCCGAAATAATAAAAAAAGTAATAAAAAGAATAGAAAAAAAATTTTTTTGTTATTCATTGTCCCAGCAGACGACGATTAGGAAAAAAAAAAAAATCCCCGGGAAAATTTCCAAAATAAAGTAAAAAAAATAGTAAATGAGGTAAAAATTATTATCGTAATTTTTTTTATAAGAAAAATTTGTTTTACGTGTTAAATGCGGTAAATGTAAAATTCTTTTTACGATCCGAATTTTTAAGAAAAAAAAAAAAATTTTTTTTTTTTTTTTTTTTTTTTAAATTATTATTTTATTTTTAATAAATGACTGGAGAAAGTTTTTTGTTACGGTAGATGGAGGTAGAAAGGGGGTAGTAGGGTAGGATACGATAGGAAAAGCAGAAGAAAACTTTAATGATTATAAATTAACGAGAAAAAAAAAAGAAAATTACCCTAGGATTAAGATCGGATCCTTGTTGCATTAAACTTCCAACTGTAAACCAAAAACAATTGCCCATCGTAAACGGATTGATGACGTAATTGTTTGCTGGAGAACAAACGTGAGGATTTTGCCATTCGTATGGACTGAGACGAGCAACAATCAAAAGGGTTAATGATACCAATGCGTATGCGGCGAATATGTAAAACCAAATGTTGAGAGCGAGAGGATTCATAAATGAAAATAATTGTGCGGCTTGATTTTTGGGTACCTGGAAAAAAAAAAAACAAAACGAAGCGGAAATGATGACGTAATAAATACCGGAAACGATTATGTTGCTCATAACGATATTAACCCGTAAAAAAAAAAATTTTTTTTTACGAAAAGCAAAAAAAAATGCGATGAAATGTTTAGGACCGATTTGTTGTTCGTTGACTTTTTGACAAAATTTATGAGCTTTTTTTTCCAGCAAGGGAAAATGAGAGAGAGAGAGATAGAAAGAGATAGAGATAGAAAAAGGGAAAGATCGCGTGTGCTGAATTTTCTTTTTTTTTTTTTTTCATTCTTAAAGATAAAAAAAATTTTTTTTTTTTGGAGGTTTGTCAAATAAGATTACTTTTTGTTATTTTCCGACAGGGTAGAAAAAAAAAAGAAAAAAAAATACCTGAAGTGCAAAAATTATTATTATTATTATTATTATTATTATTATTATTATTATTATTATCATTCTTTTTTTTTTGATATGTGATTTCACATTTTTATTTATTTATTTATTTACGTACTACGAAATTGCTTCTTAAAATTTTTTTTTTTTCAATTTTTTCCTCTTTTTTTTTTTCGAGAGAGAGAGAGAGAGATGTCATCGCACGCTTATTGAATTTTTATATATAGAGAGGGAGGGAAGGGCAGTAGGTGTGGGGGGGACGAAGGAAAATAGTGACAAATCTAACAAAAAACAAAAAATTTTCCGTGAATAATCTATCGAAAAATTTTTTATTTTCCATCCCCCTCTCTCTCTCTCTCTCTCTTTCGTAAATGTTTTTACTTGTATAAAAATTTAACAAAAAAAACATGAGAGAATTTTATTTCCGGTATTTTTCCCGCAAGTCTACCTCCCCACCCCCCAAAAAAAAAAATAGAAATTTTTATTTACCTTGAAAAGTATACTTATCCCCAACGTCATAAAAGGTTTTGTAAAATCGATGACGCTTTCACGTGCGTAATTAATGGTCATGGAACCGACGGCCAAATCCGCTTTCTGGAATTAAATTACAAATAATAATAATAATAAAACGAAATGAAAAAGAACGTAACGTTGGGATTCCAAATTAAAAAAAAAAAAATTTCTCGGGAAATAATAAAGATCGATAGTAACGAGGGGGAAAAAAAAACGATTTAAAAAAAACGTGACGTCATTTTATTTAATTTAAATAATTATTATTATCATTATCATCACCTTGTCAATGAGTTGACGTACCATTCCATTCCATTCTCCGGTTTTATAATCGTAAACGCCATATTTTCCATCGGGTACTAAACTAATATTATATTTAAAACCGACTAAATTTGCAATGGCGTCTAATAAATCGATGCAAAAACCTTCCAATGCGAAACTCGAATTTGTTTTTGTTTTCATCATGACGTAGGGTTGTTCCTGATGACAAACAAACAAACAATAAGGAAACAATCGTGGTGGTAATAATAATAATAGTAATAGTTACCAATATCGTTGTCACGACGAGCGTAACATTCGTATCGATCGGATGAAAAAAAATTGATTTGTTTGTTATGTTAAGACCCCCATTGGGGGTCCATTCTCCGGCTTTGATGATTTTTTTAGAATTAATTTTTAATAAATCTAATTTAAATTGAACTCTTTCTCCTTCTTTAAATTCAATCGGTCCCGTTAAACCTTTTAATTCAACCTGTTGAATCGGAAAAAAAAAAAAAAAATTTTCATTTTTGTCTCCCCTTTCCCCCAATCTCTTTCAATTATTATTATTATTTACGGAATTTATGTAATTGATTAAACTTAATCCTTCGTTCCATGGTATTTCAGATTCGCAAGAAACGTTTGATGATGATGGCGATGATGATGATGATAATTGATTTCCGTCGAACGCTTGCAGACCAGCTGCAAAAACGTAAACCGAATCGTAAATCAAAGCCGGTTCCGTCTGTAAGTAAAACAAACAAAAATTTTTTTTAATTTTCCCGCCAAATTTTAAAAAACTTTTGCACCCTCTAGCGGTAAATTTTAATGTCATAGAGTATATATATATATATATATATATATATAAATAATAATAGGAAAATTAAATTTTCTTTATATTATATCGGGTTATTACGTTTGTGATAGCCTTTTTCCCCCGTGATGGCGGTGGTGGTGGTTGTGGTGGCGGAGTCGAATTTACATATGATATTTATTTACGTAATTTAATATTTAATAATAATAATAATAATAATAATAATATGGATTTACCTTTGAGATTTGATTATTATTTAAATAATTATCCCCGGATTCGTCGTCGCGTATCGATTTAATTAAACGTTTTAAATTATCAAAATCGTTTTTGATTTTTTTATCATCGTCATCATCATCGTTAATGTTGATCAAACGAAATGTCGTCACGTTAATTATATTTATATTTAAATTTAACAAATGAAAGGCCTCGACGTCCTGAAAAACAAATAATAATAATAATAATAATAATTAATAAAGAGAAGAGAGAGAGAGAGAGAGAGAGAAAAAAAAAAAAAAACGATAATAATAATAATAATTTTATTTTATTTTTTTCTTACGTTAACGTAAAAGCAGAAGAAAAAGTAGAAGTAGAGAAAAATTATAAAAAGTTATAATAAATTAAATTATGACGACTATTTATTATATCAAGATGGCGTCTTGACTGATGAACCTAACTTATTGCTCTCGTGAAAACTTTTTTTTTTTTTTTTTTAACGAAAGACAAGTCAAAGATTGTCAAAGTTACTACTTTTCTTTTGTTTTATATATAAAAAAAAAAAAGAAAAGAAAAGAAATAGAAAAAAAAGATCATCTCATGAGAATTAATAGATAGAAAAAGGAAAAGAAAAAAAGGAAAAAAAAGAAAAAAGTCGTGAAAAGTTTTTTTTTTTTTTTATTAATAAAAAGGAATTCAATCGTCTTTTTATTATTATTATTATTATTATTATTATTATTAATTTTTTTTTTTCAAATCACCCCCCGAAGGTATTTTTTTATAAAAAGAAAAGATTCTTGTATTGCTTTAGAAAATGACGATTCGGTTAAGAAATAAAATTAAAATTAAAAAAAAAAAAAGAAAGAGAGAGAAAAAGGAAAAAAGGAAAGGGAAAGAAAAAGGAAAGAAAAGAATTTTTTTTTTTTGTATAAAAAAAGGAAATGAATAAATAAAGTATTGCCATGTTTTTTTTTTTCTTTTCTTTTCCCCCCCTTTTAAAGTTGCCAAGAGGGGGGGGGGTCGGCACACACACACACAAAAAAAAAAGTTATTCGTTATTTTTATTCCCTTTTTTTTTTTTTTTATTTTGAAACGAATAAATCCTTGAATGAATAAAAAAAAAAAAAAAAAAAAAAAAAAATTTCTCTCTCTTTTTTAATTTATTAACAAACAACAACAACAACAACAAACAACAAAAACGACAAAGAAAAAGAAAACAAACGAAAAAAAAAATGCAAGTTGAAAAAGAAAAAAAAAAATTACGGGAAAGAAACAAAACAATCGAAATTATTTCCGGTTTAAAAAAATTGACGTCATAATTTTTTAATAAATTAATTGTTTGTTGTTTTACCTCGACAGAAACAAACAAACAAAAATTTTTTATTATTATTTAATATTAATTAAAAAATTCAAAACCGGAAGTTATGAAAAAAAAAAAAAAAGAAAATATTACAATCGTAAATTTTCTTTTATTATTTTAAATAAAAAAAAATTATCATCATTATTATCGTCGTCGTTTTTAAGGAATAAAACCTGAAATGTTTTCAATAAATAAATAAATAAATAAATAAATAAATAATAATAATAATAATAATAATAATAATAATAATGAAAAAGAAAATTTTAATAAGTTTTTTTCGATTTCCTCCCGTTCGATTTCGTCCGTCGGAACTTTCGCCGTACTCAACCGCCTTTTTTTTTTTTTTTTTTTTTTTTTATTATTTTCCATTCCGTTGGTTAAAATCTTTTCGGGTCCCCCCATCGAAAACCTTTTTCCCTTTTTTTGTTTGTTTGTTTGTTTTTGTAAAAAAAAATATGTATATATATATATTTTTTTTTTTTCATGATAACCTGGTTTTCCGCCATCTTGAAAACGTCAGCCATTTTTTTTTTTTTAATATTAAATATTTATTCATAATTAAATGTTTTTTTTTTTTTCGAACGAACGAACGAGCGAACGGGCGAACGTTTAATACGATTGATAACAAAAAAAAAAATCATTATCGT